AAGAAATGATGTCCTTTTTTATTTGTGGACAGCCAATTTGTAGAGGAATATACTGAAAAACGGTGTTTTTTCGTTTTCAGTTATTTCATACAATAGAGCTCGATCCAAGAAAGAAATGAGTCTTTTTTTATTTTGTGGACGCATTTGTATTGAATACTGAAAACGGGTTTTGAGTCGGTTTTCAGTATTCCAATCAAGTGGAGCTCGATCCAAGAAAAAAATGATGTCTTTTTTTTATTTGTGGATTGCCAATTTTGTATTGGAATATACTGAAAAGGGTTTCACGTGGTTTTCAGTATTTCAATACAAGTGGAGCTCGTCCAAAAAAAAATGAGTCTTTTTTTTTATTTTGTGGACAGCCAATTTTGTATTGGAATGACTGAAACGGCGGCAGTGGTTTTCAGTATATTCCAATACAACTGGGCTCCATCCAAGAAAAAAAAAGATTTTTTTTTTTTGTGGTGGCCAATTTTTATTGGAATATACTGAAAACGGGCGTTCACGTTGGTTTTCAGTATTTTCAATACAGTGGAGCTCATCCAAGAAAAAATGTTGTCTTTTTTTTTTGTGGACAGCCAATTTTGATTGGAACGGGCGTTGAGTCGGTTTCAGTAATTCATACAAATGGAAGCTCCATCCAAGAAAAAAATATGTCTTTTTTTTATGTTGTGGACTGCCCTATTTTGTTGGAATACTGAAAAGGGGTTCGAGTCGGTTCAAATTCAATACAAATGAGCTCTATCCAAGAAAAAATGAGTCTTTTTTTATGTTGTGGACAATCAATTTTGTATTGGAATATATACTGAAAACGGGCGTTCGAGTCCTTTTCCGACTATTTCTACACACATTCCACTATATTAAATGACGTTATTATTGAGTCCAAACAGAGTCGTCCCGGAGAGTCGTCTCCGGACAAAGTCGTCCCTCTTTTCTTTGAATTCTATTCTTTAAAAGGATGAGTCATGGTCTATTTTTAGAAAGTGGAGACAACATTCCCAGACAAAAGGGGGGGTGAGTAATTTTTTTGTCTAGAAGACATGATTTAAAAAAATTTTTTTTTTTTTTTTTTTTTTTTTTTAACATCTCAGAATTTTTTTCTGAGCTCTGAGAAATTTTTCCTAGCCGATCCCATTTCGTTTTTCTTCTTTCACTTTCAACTCTTCACTTTTCCTATCCACTGTGTTGGAATGTGTTCACTGGAGGCTATTTCTTTTTTGCAATCTCGCTTTTAGTTTTTCTCTGAGATTCTTTAGAAATGGCTATACAAATTTCACCATCTATATAGAATGATGTCCCAAAACAAAGTCGTCCCCGGACCATCTTGATGACCGAATATGTATAGAAATAGTCTGAAAATGGGCTTGAGGGCCGGTTTCTGGACGATTCCTCTACAAATTCGGCCGCATCCAAAAACAAAAATACATAGTTTCTTTTTGGGTGGACAGGAGATGATAAATTCTTTTCTCTCTCTCCTCCCAATATTGGAGGAGAGAGTGGCCCAAAAAAATGGGTCTCGGAAGGAATCGAATGCATTTTGAAATGCACTCATTCCTTCCAAGACCCATTTTTTTGGTCTCCTGATTCAAACTCTCCAGTCTATGGAATAGGGAAAGCGGAGAACGTTTCCCCTTCCTTAAGCGACTGGAGACCATATCGCATCATCATCATCATCATCACCATCATCCTCTTTCTGATACTTTTCAACGAAGGCTTGATGTCTCTGGATGATTTTGGGGAGATGATGGATCCCGAATTGAGTGATGAAAAAGAGAAGGACTCTTTTTTCCTTTCTTGTTCGTCTTGCACAGTCTCTCGGAGGGTGATATACGTTTCCCCGTCCTCCTCATTTTCGTCAGAGGTCTCATGAATATTTACACATCCAAGGGAAGAGCGACTTGTTATGCAGGGATTTCGAAGCGACGAAGGCCGCTTCATTCGAAGTGAGGACAATCTGGTTCGGTTGACCCCATTCTTTGGAGTAGTTGTCCAAATCGCCTAGTCGAAGAAAATGGTGTCGATTAGGAAAAAGACTTGGAGAACACTCGTCGTATGCGAGACGTTCGTAGGCAAGAGAGTCAAGATATCTTTGGCATTCCAGTACAGGAATCCTAGATCCACATACGCGTGCACGTAATAGTCATCGTTATATTCCAGTTTGAGCAGCATGGCTTTTGTATTTTTTTTTCCGTTCTCAAGGCGAAACACTCGTCTGATATGAACAAGAGCTCGCTGGCGATCCGTTTATATAGACTCCTCAGAGAGAGAGGGAGAGGGGAGGAACAAGGTTGATGAATTCTAAAATAAAAAAAAAAATGATAACGAAATGAGTTTTGTGAAGGTCATAGAGAGATGATTATAAAGTTGTTTTATTTTTATTTCTCAAAAGAAAAAACCAAAAGGGTCCCATTCCATACGACATGGCCTTTGAGAAGGTGACGGGGTCATGTGTCTACAAAGTTGATAAACTCTAGAATAAAAAAAAAGCTTTCATCACGTAGCTCTCGAGAAGAAAATGACAGGGGTCTCTAGGAGAAGGTCATAGGTAGTATACAAAGGATGGTTGTTTTTTTCTTTCGTTCCTCTCAATCCCATGACCTTTGAAAAGGTGACGGGGTGTCCTTTAGGAAAAAAAATAGAAGGTCATAGAGAGAGAGGTAGACAAAGTTGATTTTTTTTTCTAGAAGTCAACCGTCACGTCACCCATCACGTGGTCTTCTCGTATATATAGAGAGGCGAGTGGAAGACAGACTCTATTTCCCAGAGAGAGAGACTGCTGTGCGTATCCATATTTCTACTCAAGATGATGATCCGCGTCTTATATAATGAGTTTGTGAGCATTCGCTGTTATGTGGATGACGGAAGATTGTTTTGGAACGCTACGGACATTTTGCCTCTGATTCATACTTCCAGTAAAAGAACCTGGGGCATTCTCTCCGTGTTTTTCGACGAACACCACGTCTTCAGGAAAATAAAAGATCTTGAGAGTCTCGGCAGTTCTCAAGAGGGATATGTCCTCTCCAGCGAAGAAATGTTACATCTGGCCGAAAATAATCCTAAAAATAATCAGCTTCTGGCCTGGGTGTATAGCATTTTAACTCAGCCGCTGGTTCGAGTTGTACCCAATCAACCCGTTTACCGACTGCTCTATCCGGGGGAGAGATTTCCCTTCATCACCCTCTTTAATCTGGGAGTGCGCTACATACCGCCTCATCCAGGCATGACGGACTCTTCTACTTACCCTAAACAATATGCCAGCGCTTATTGCCAGACAGACCCCCGTCAAGAAAAGGTCGTCGAGACTCAAACGGATCCTCTGGTGGTCTCTTTAAATGTCACTAAAGTTATCACCTTCTAAAAAAAAAACCACCACCACCCAAAAAAAAATTTGCTCCTCCTCCAAATTTTTTTTTTATCTTCTCGAAAGAAAAAAAAAGAAACTTTTCCATCTAGCCTCTTTCTTTCAATCCCTCTTAAGAGAGAGAGAGGGAGAAAAGAAAGAGAGTTCTGAGGAGGCAAAGAAATGGGTCTGGAAGGAAACGGGTGCATTGCGAGAAAAAGAGGGTCCTCTTTTCTTTTCTCGAAATGCACTCTTTTCCTTCCAGACCCATTTTTTTTGATCACTTCTTCAAGCCAATCTTGGAAAGGTGGGGATACAATAAATTGTGTGTAAAGTCCATTTCGATCAAGACTGGATTTTTTTTTTTGAAAAGAAAACATAATGTTATAATAGATAGCTAAATCTTATCATGATATTCTTTAAGAATTTCTTAGCCATTTGTCAAGAAGGGGACTATAATTGAAGAATTTATGAATTTGGGAACATGTCACCCATGGCAAATCTAAAATCTTATTGGTGGATACTGGAAAGCCCCGCTCTGATTATAATTCTGAGTTCTAGCATGGGACATTTTTTTAGATCATAAGCTAAACTATTTTTCTAGTCTCATATTCTCTCGTGACTAGGGTTTCAGATTTGGGTAGAGAGAGACACTGTTCTGAACAGAAACGTGGAATGCTTTATAGAAAAGTGAAGAGTTGAAAGTGAAAGTCGAAAAACGAAATGGGATCGGCTAGGAAAAATTTCTCAGAGCTCAGAAAAAAATTCTGAGATGTAAAAAAAAAAAAAAAAAAAAAAAAAAAAAAAAAAAAAAAAAAAAAAAAAAAAAACTTTTTGTTAATTTTTATCATGTCTTCTAGACATGATAAAAATTAACTCACCCCCCCTTTTGTCTGGGAATGTTGTCTCCCACTTTCTAAAAATAGACCATGACTCATCCTTTTAAAGAATAGAATCCAAGAAAAGACTGGGTTCTGGTCTATTTTTAGAAACGGTGAGACAACATTCCCAGACAAAGGGGGTGGGATTAATTTTTTCATATCATGTCTAGAAGACATATAAAAATTAACAAAAAGTTTTTTTTTTTTTTTACATCTCAGAATTTTTTCTGAGCTCTGAAAATATTTGCCAGCCGATCTCATTCGTTTTTATCATTTTTTTTATTTTAGAATTCATCAACCTTGTTCCTCCTCCCCTCTCCCTCTCTCTCTCTCTGAGGAGTCTATATAAACGGATCGCCAGCGAGCTCTTGTTCATATCAGACGAGTGTTTCGCCTTGAGAACGGAAAAAAAAATACAAAAGCCATGCTGCTCAAACTGGAATATAACGATGACTATTACGTGCACGCGTATGTGGATCTAGGATTCCTGTACTGGAATGCCAAAGATACTTGACTCTCTTGCCTACGAACGTCTCGCATACGACGAGTGTTCTCCAAGTCTTTTTCCTAATCGACACCATTTTCTTCGACTAGGCGATTTGGACAACTACTCCAAAGAATGGGGTCAACCGAACCAGATTGTCCTCACTTCGAATGAAGCGGCCTTCGTCGCTTCGAAATCCCTGCATAACAAGTCGCTCTTCCCTTGGATGTGTAAAATATTCATGAGACCTCTGACGAAAATTGAGGAGGACGGGGAAACGTATATCACCCTCCGAGAGACTGTGCAAGACGTCAAGAAAGGAAAAAGAGTCCTCTCTTTTTCATCACTCAATTCGGGATCCATCATCTCCCCAAAATCATCCAGAGACATCAAGCCTTCGTTGAAAAGTATCAGAAAGAGGATGATGGTGATGATGATGATTGATGATGCGATATGGTCTCCAGTCGCTTAAAGAAGGGAAACGTTCTCCGCTTTCCCTATTCCATAGACTGGAGAGTTGAATCAGGAGACCAAAAAATGGGTCTTGGAAGGAAATGAGTGCATTTCAAAATGCATTCGATTCCTTCCGAGACCCATTTTTTGGGCCCACTCTCTCCTCCAATATTGGGAGAGAGAGAGAGAGAAAAGAAATTTATCATCTCCTGTCCACCCAAAAGAAACTATGTATTTTTGTTTTTCTGGATGCGGCCGAATTTGTAGAGGAATCGTCCAGAAACCGGCCCTCAAGCCCATTTTCAGACTATTTCTATACATATTCGGTCATCAAGATGGTCCGGGGACGACTTTGTTTGGACATCATCTCTATATAGATGGTGAAATTTGTATAGCCATTTCTAAGAATCTCAGAGAAAACTAAAAGCGAGATTGCAAAAAAGAATAGCCTCCAGTGAACACAATTCCAACGACAGTGGATAGGAAAGTGAAGAGTTGAAAGTGAAAGTCGAAAACGAAATGGGATCGGCTAGGAAAAATTTCTCAGAGCTCGAAAAAAATTCTGAGATGTAAAAAAAAAAAAAAAAAAAAAACTTTTGGTAATTTTTATCATGTCTTCTAGACATGATAAAAATTAACTTACCCCCCTTTTGTCTGGGAATGTTGTCTCCCACTTTCTAAAAATAGACCATGACTCTCCTTTTAAAGAATAGAATCAAAGAAAAGAGGGGACGACTTTGTCCGGAGAACCCGACTCTGTTTGGACTCAACCATAACGTCCTTTTAATTTATAGTGGAATGTGTGTAGAACTAGTCTAAAAAGGACTCGAACGCCCTTTCAGTATATTCCAATACAAAATTGATTGTCCACAACATAAAAAAGACATCATTTTTTCTTGGATAGAGCTCCATTTGTATTGGAAAATACTGAAAACGGACTCGAACGCCCGTTTTCAGATATTCCAATACAAAATAGGCAGTCCACAACATAAAAAAAGACATCATTTTTCTTGGATGGAGCTCCATTTGTATTGAATATATGAAAACCGACTCGAACGCCCGTTTTCAGTATATCCAATACAAAATTGGCTGTCCAAAAATAAAAAAAACATCATTTTTTTCTTGGATGAGCTCCATTTGTATTCATACTGAAAACCGACGTGAACCCCGTTTTCAGTATATTATACAAAATTGGCTGTCCACAAAATAAAAAAAGACATCATTTTTTTCTTGGATCGAGTCCATTTGTTTAGAAATACTGAAAACCGAAACGCCCGTTTTCAGTATATCCATACAAATTGTCCACAAAATAAAAAAAAGACATCATTTTTTTTCTTGGATCGCTCCATTTGTATTGGAATATACTGAAAACGACGTGAACCCCGTTTCAGAATATTCCAATACAAAATTGGCAATCCACAAAATAAAAAAGACATCATTTTTTTCTGATCGAGCTCCACTTGTATTGGAATATACTGAAACCGACGTGAAACACCCGTTTTCAGTATATTCCAAATACAAAAGGGCAGTCCACAAAATAAAAAAAAGAATCATTCTTTCTGGTCACATTTGTATTGAAATATTGAAAACCGACGGAACGCCCGTTTTCAGTATTTCCAATACAAATTGGCTCCACAACATAAAAAAAGACTCTTGGAGCTCCATTTGTATTGAAAATTACTGAAAACCGACTCAAACACCCGTTTTCAGTATATTCCAAACAAATTGGCAGTCCACAAAAAAAAAAAAACATCATTTTTTCTTGGATCGAGCTCCATTTGTATTGAATATACTGAAAGACTGAACGCCCGTTTTCATATCAATACAAATTTTCCACAAATAAAAAAAAGACATCATTTTTTTCTGGATCGAGCCATTGTAAATATACTGAAAACCAAAACGCCCGTTTTCAGTATATTTCCAATACAATTGGGCATGTCCACAACATAACAAAGACAATTTTTTCTTGGATCGAGCTCCATTTTTTGAATATAGTGAAAACCGACTCAAAACACCCGTTTTCAGTATTCCAATACAAATTGAGTCCACAAAATAAAAAAAAAAGACATCACTTTTTTCTTAGATCGAGCTCCACTTGTTTGGAAATACTGAAAACCGACTCAACCGTTTTTAGTATATTCCCATCAGACATAAAAAAAAGAATCATTTCTTTCTTGGATCGAATTTGTATTGAAATAGAAACCGACGTGAACGCCCGTTTTCAGATTTCAATACAATTGGAGTCCACAAAATAAAAAAGATCATTTTTTCTTGGACGAGCTCATTGAATATACTACGTGAACGCCCGTTTCAGTATATTCCAATGGACTTCATTTTTTTTCTTAGATCAGCTCCATTTTGGTGAAAAAATTCCGTTTCAGAATATTCCAAAAAAATTACAAAAAAAAAAAAAAAGACATCATTTTTTTTCTTAGATCGAGCTCCACTTGTATTGAATTCTGAAAAACAAAACACCCGTTTTCAGTATATTCCATACAAAAAAGTCCAAAAATAAAAAAAAGACTCATTTTTTTTGGAAGCTCCTTGTATTGAATATACTGAAAACCGACGTGAACGCCGTTTCAGTATATTCCAATACAAAATTGGCTGTCCACAACATAAAAAAAAGACATCATTTTTTCTTGGATGAGCTCCATGTATTGGAATATACTGAAAACCGACTGAACGCCCGTTTTCAGTATATTCCAATAAAAATGGCGTCCACAAAATAAAAAAAAAGACATCATTTTTTTCTTGGATCGAGCTCCATTTGTATTGAATATACTGAAAACCGACGGAACGCCCGTTTCAGTATATTCCAATACAAAATTGGCTGTCCACAACATAAAAAAAGACATCATTTTTTTCTTGGATCGAGCTCCATTTGTATTGAAATATACTGAAACCAACGTGAACCCGTTTTCAGTATATTCCAATACAAAATTGGCTGTCCACAAAATAAAAAAAGACATCATTTTTTCTTGGATCGAGCTCCATTTGTATTGAAATATACTGAAAACCGACTCAAACGCCCGTTTTCAGTATATTCCAATACAAAATTGGCTGTCCACAAAAATAAAAAAGACATCATTTTTTTCTTGGATCGAGCTCCATTTGTATTGGAATATACTGAAAACCGACGTCAAACACCCGTTTTCAGTATATTCCAATACAAATTGGCAAGTCCACAAAATAAAAAAAAGACATCATTTTTTTTTCTTGGATCGAGCTCCATTTGTATTGAATATACTGAAAACCGACTGAAAACCCGTTTTCAGTATATTCCAATACAAAATTGGCAGTCACAAAATAAAAAAAAAAAAGACATTCATTTTTTTCTTGGATCGAGCTCCATTTGTATTGAAATATACTGAAAACCGACGTGAACCCCGTTTTCAGTATATTCCAATACAAAATTGGCAGTCCACAAAATAAAAAAAAAAGACATCATTTTTTTCTTGGATCGAGCTCCATTTGTATTGAATATACTGAAAACCGACGTGAACGCCCGTTTTCAGTATATCCAATACAAAATTGGCTGTCCACAAACATAAAAAAAAAGACATCATTTTTTCTTGGATCGAGCCATTGTATTGAAATATACTGAAAACCAACGTGAACCCGTTTTCAGTATATTCCAATACAAATTGGCAGTCCACAAAATAAAAAAAAAGACATCATTTTTTTCTTGGATCGAGCTCCATTTGTATTGAAATATACTGAAAACCGACGTTGAACGCCCGTTTTCAGTATATTCCAATACAAAATTGGCAGTCCACAAATAAAAAAAAAAGACATCATTTTTTTCTTGGATGGAGCTCCATTTGTATTGAAATATACTGAAAACCAACGTGAACGCCCGTTTTCAGTATATTCCAATACAAAATTGGCTGTCCACAAATAAAAAAAAAAAATCATTTTTTTCTTGGATCGAGCTCCATTTGTATTGAAATATACTGAAAACCGACGTGAACGCCCGTTTTCAGTATATTCCAATACAAAATTGGCAGTCCACAAAATAAAAAAAAGACATCATTTTTTTTCTTGGATCGAGCTCCATTTGTATTGAAATATACTGAAAAAACGTGAAAACGCCCGTTTTCAGTATATTCCAATACAAAATTGGCAGTCCACAAAATAAAAAAAAAGACATCATTTTTTTCTTGGATCGAGCTCCATTTGTATTGAAATATACTGAAAACCGACGTGAACGCCCGTTTTCAGTATATTCCAATACAAAATTGGCTGTCCACAAAATAAAAAAAAAAGACATCATTTTTTCTTGGATCGAGCTCCATTTGTATTGAAATATACTGAAAAACCGACTCAAACGCCCGTTTTCAGTATATTCCAATACAAAATGGCAGTCCACAAAATAAAAAAAAAAGACATCATTTTTTTCTTGGATCGAGCTCTATTTGTATTGAAATATACTGAAAACCGACGTGAACGCCCGTTTTCAGTATATTCCAATACAAAATTGGCAGTCCACAAATAAAAAAAAGACATCATTTCTTTCTTGGATCGAGCTCTATTTGTATTGAAATATACTGAAAACCGACTCAAACACCCGTTTTCAGTATATTCCAATACAAATTGGCAGTCCACAAAATAAAAAAAAAAGACATCATTTCTTTCTTGGATCGAGCTCTATTTGTATTGAAATATACTGAAAACCGACTCAAACACCCGTTTTCAGTATATTCCAATACAAATTGGCAGTAGTCCACAAAAAAAAAAAAAAGACATCATTTCTTTCTTGGATCGAGCTCTATTTGTATTGAAATATACTGAAAACCGACTCAAACACCCGTTTTCAGTATATTCCAATACAAATTGGCAGTCCACAAAATAAAAAAAAGACATCATTTCTTTCTTGGATCGAGCTCCATTTGTATAGAAATAGCCTAGAAATCAGTTCGAACGCCCGTTTTCAGTATATTGTAATACAAATGAAATGACATGAAAAAATGCAAAAAGAGGAAAGGAAAAGTAGCCTACCTTGACGGAAATTCTATTCCAAAAAAAGGGGAAAACTTGTATCCAGGTGGGCCCACAGCACGGCCGGAACTCAAGCGAAACTCGATAGGTTGAAATCGATCCATTAAATAACATTCTTAAAAAAAAAGTAAAGTTTTATTCACATCGAGTCGGCTGGGAAAAGTTTCTGAAAAAATAAATTACCCCCCTTTTAGTCTGAAAATTTGAAAATTGATGTCTTCAATTTTCGAAAAATTGAAGACATCAATTTTCAGACTAAAAGGGGGGTATTTTTTTTTTTTTTTTTTTTTTTTTTTTTTTTTTTTTCAGCCAGAGAAATTTTTCTCCGGCTCTCAGAAATTTTTCCGCACTCGACTGGATGAATAAAACATCCCCGTTTCTTTAAGAATGGGCTCACTGTTAACTATTTCAGCATTCGACGTTTCGCGTCCAATAATAACTGCCGGGTGTTCAAGAATGCAGATGCACCTACTAGATTTTCTACAGAGAAGCTTGACTGGATGAGAGAGTGGATAACTTTTTCCAAGATTCTCGACTTTGGACCGTCAAGAGGTAAAGGATCTTTTTTTTTTTTTTCTTTTAAGAAAATTTATGGATAGATTCATTTCTTTTTGAATGGACCTAGAAAAATAGGACAAAGTTCTTTTCCAAGATTGGATGAGAGAGGGACCCAAAAAAAATGGGTCTCGGAAGGAATCGAATGCATTTGCACTCATTCCTTCCAAGACCCATTTTTTTTGGTCTCCTGATTCGTCTCTCTCTCTTCTCAGTCCATTTCCATAAATATAGGGAAAGCGGAGAACCTTTCCCTACTTATTTCTAAAAATCTTTTCTTTATTTTTTTTCTCCTGAGTTTATGTATATATCAATTCAAATACTTTTGAGAACGGTCATCCCAATTCTCTGTCGTCTTTTCGGTTTCATCGTCCCAACACTCAGTGGACATAGTCTCAGTAGATTTTGGAGCATGGGTCGTCCGTTCATTGTCCCAACATTCAGTGGACATAGTCTCAGTAGATTTTGGAGCATGAGTCGTCTGTTCATTGTCCCAACACTCAGTGGACATAGTCTTAGTGGATTTTGGAGCATGAGTCGTCCGTTCATTGTCCCAACACTCAGTGGATTTTGTCTTTGGATCCTCTGAAGATATTTTGGGGGTCTCATGAGATTCTTTGGAAGGTTCGTCCCAACAGGCTGCTGGATCGTAATGGGGAATATTTTCAGGTATGTCTCCCCAACCCTCCGTCTTCCTCGAGTTATTGGAGGAAGTTGACGACAAAGAAGAAGTAGAAGAGCCCATCAAGTTTAAAGGCGTATGCTCATCCGGATGTTCCATCACTTGGAAACAGGACAGATTATCCCATTTCTGGATGAGGTTATCGTACGCTTTTGGGGACGGATCCTTCTCTAACTGATCGTAGGCCTTATCAAAAGCTTGCAGAGGATTGTCTGCTTCCTCCTGAATCCTCTCCTCTTTCTCCGTTCCGTCTGGATAGACGTGATTGATATGAAAATCTCCTTCCGTAATATGCCATCGATAGTTGCGCACTTTGTTTTCGGCACAATGGAAATATTTCCTCCTTTGATGATGTCGGGCACATTTTTCCCGATACTTCCAAATGATTCCATCTGGCACATAAATTTCCGTCACGGGTTTTTGATAATCCAAGGCTTTAGCAAAGAATTTAGCTTTCTGGCATCCCACCACATAAATCGTGGAGAAGCTGTGAGTGAGCGATTGGAGAATGCGTCCTAAATGGTTGTAGGGAATATGACCCTCGTTCCAACGAAGTCCGTGCCGGTTTCTCGTCAGCCAGGCATTCGTCTTTTGGTTTTTTTCACTCAGTTGGTGGAAGGGGTGAGGAGGAGAGCAAACGTCAACGATCCCACGGTCAAAAAATCTTTTGTCGCATAGCCCAATTCTTTTAAAACGTAGGTAAATTCACCCTTCTTGTGGTTGTAGGACTGGAAACCCTCTAGATCGAGCACGATAAAGTTTTCTGAACACGCCATGGCGATGAATACGGTGATGTCTTCCACAAACAGGAGCAAAAAAAGAGAATCGAAAAGGTATATATGTATAACAGGGAAGATCTAGAAAGGGGGGAAAAAAAAAACAATAAAACGTTTTAGAGTCGTCGTCTTGAAAGAGACATTTTTCTTTTCAAAGGGTTAAGAAGTTTCAAAGTTTCAAAGGTCTTTTTAAATGAAGTTATGATTAGTTCAAATCGATTTATAAACCATATTCATAGGACCAAAGGGACTTACCAGCTCAGTTCACGTCTTCTTCTGTTCTCTGAAGAAATCTCGCGGAGGACACACACTTTTATACTCGCGCGACATCTGTCGGGATCGCGACCCCATCTAAATGTCAGGGTCATTCCAACCTCTTAAAGGATCGGATCGGAATGAAAGAAACACTTTGATAAAAAATATATTTATGAAAAGATATCTGAGGGTCGTGAGAACATTTTCTCTCCCCCCCCCGCCTATTTCAAAAAAAAAAAAATAAAAAGTCTTTCTTGGATCGCGTCAAGATTACAAAACAACTCACAGGACTTGTTTATCTCGATCTCGTCAGGGTCACCGTTTCACATAAGAAGATGGATGGACCCTGAACTTTAGACATGATAAAAATTAACTCTACCCGCCTTTTGTCTGGGAATAGGGTCTCACCGTTTCTAAAAATAGACCAGATCCCATTCTTGGAATTCTATTCTTTAGGAAAGGAGGAGTGATGGTCTATTTTTAGAAAGTGTGAGACAACATTCCCAGACAAAAGGGGGGGTAGGGTAGAGTTAATTTTTATCATGTCTAAGACATGATAAAAATTAACAAAAAGTTTTTTTTTTTTTTTTTTTTTTTTTTTTTTAAGGCTGAAAAATTTTTTCTGAGAGAGCTGAGAAAGATTTTTTCCTCCCAATCTTTTTCGACGATGAAAAGGGAAAAACTACTGATCCGATCTCCCTACGCTTTAGGGAAAAAAAAACAAAAAATACTTATGAAATATTCATGTGTTGAAATTGGCTATTCAAATAAGTGACATTTTGTTTCTCATTGGAACTGTTCAACGGCGAGTCCACTCGTCTCATTCTTTGGGGTAGGGGATGATGAAAGTACAGCGGTTTGTTGAAATCGATGATAGTTTCCTCTTTAGTCGGCGGAACTGTAAATCTATCCCGTCTTAACTCTTCTAATCTCTTTGAAAGTCTTTCCACTTGCTCTGCTAAGGTTTCCTCGGTACTCATGATCTCTCTTAGTTTAGGGAAGTCTTGACGTATTGGCTAGAGAACAGAGGGTCTTTTTCTCTCTATACATATATCATGTGGGAGCGTGTGTGATTTATAAATCCTTGTGAAATCTTTCTACGTCTTGTGTAACTTGGAAGATTCGTCTTGTGTAACTTGGAAAATTCTTCTTCTTCTCGTCGATTGGGCTGGAGTTATGGAAAAGAAATGGGATTGGAAAGAAATCAACATATTACAAAAAAAAGGAACTTTTTTTTTCTATTTTTTTTCTCTAGGGATTTACATACCATTTCATTCATGAACATTCAAGGGTTCTCTCCAAGACCAAATTTTAGAAGAGGACCACAAAGAGTACACTTGAGGATCCTCTTTCAGGTCTAGGTGAGATAAGGGTTGAGACCAATATTCTTGGGTCTCTAAAGCATCCCAACTTAGACATTTATTATTATTATTATTAGAAAGTTCATCCTCCTCCTCCTCCTCCTCATCGTCGCACGAGTTCTCCTGGGGAGATTCTTCCGCCTCCTCTTCGTCTTCGACAGCTTTGCTCTCGGAGGGGTAACAATGTAATTTCCGGAAAACGTAACTACCCTCCATCAAATGGTATCGAAAATTTCTCACCTTGTTCTCGGCACAATGAATCATCTTTTGGAAATATTGGTGTCGCGTGCATTTCGACTTGTTCCGCCACTCGGTTTTCCCTGGGATGTAAAACTCGTAAACGGATCGCTGGCAGAGCTTGCTGAAAAATTCGGCTTTATCGTATCCATTGACGTAGATCACCTCCACATTTTCGGTCAGTATTTTCAGGATCGTAGGAAGATGCTCGTAGGAAAGACGACCCTCGGTCCATTGCAGGCCGTGTCGGTTATTTGTAGTCTGGTTGACCACAGCTTGATTGCGGGACGATAAGTCATCGTAATGGACAGGAGGGAGAAAAATCATGGATCCGCATAAGGTTAAATCGCAAGTGATGTAGCCCAGTTCTTTCAAGATGAAACATATATCTCCCGTCTTTGGATCATAACAGTGAAAGTATTCCATGTCCAGAACAATGTAGGAATCTTTGAGAGGTTTGGCACTCAAAATGTCCATCTTCTTCAATTGAGGAAAAAAAGAAAACAAAATTCTCTCTCTCTCTCTCGCTGTGTGTCCTGAAGGAAAAAATGGATAGCGTTCTCTCGCCGTCTCCTCTTTTATATATAGAGAGAGAGAAGGTTGCACGTGACAGGTCGTATGAATTCTGGGAAAGGTCACATTCGTATATATATATTTGTTTTTTGAATAATATCGTGCGTATCTCAATACACATCCATCATAATAATAATAAAGGTCACCTTGGAAAGAAAAAGAAATAAAAAACATGGAACTCGTGCTCGACTTTGAAGGTTTCTACGATTCTCAAGGAGCCTTTATTGTGAAAGAATTGGCTTACGTCACATTGGACGGTACTTCTCGAGGGGTATTTGTTTTTAAACCCCCGTTTCCATGGCAAATGCTCACCGAGAAAGAAAAAACGAACCGCTGTGTGGGCGAGTGATTATTATCACGGCTTGTCGTGGTACGAAGGAGAAATTCCGTACAGTTATTTTCCATGGGGTGTTAACGATGTTGACGGAACCTTTTTCCATGATTTGGGTGCGAGGAGAAATGAAACGGCGGTTTTTAGAGAGAAATGGTTGCAAAGATCCATTTATTGCATTTCGGGATCGACGCAAGAGATTCTCAAATACAATGGGATCGAACACATGAATTGTCCTAACCATACAAAAGGTTTTTTCCATTGCGCTCTACAAAAAGCGGTTCGGTATCATTATTATTTAAAGACACAGAGAAGAAATTCGCAAGGTCGATCCTGCACAATTCAATCTTGACAGAACTCATTAAAAAAATACATATATCACGTTACTTCTTCAACAGCACAGATGGTTCTGAAGCGAAACTTGGAATTTTGAAATAATAGATCAGGGAGAAATCATTCTTAAAAAAAATGGTAAAGTCTCGAATCGGCTGGAGA